TGATCAACAGCATGAGTAGGAACAGGAACAGCCAGATGTGCGAGAAAGGCTCAGCACAGGTAAATGAATCAATAGTACGCCTGGCTGTTCCTCTCTCTGCACTCCTCCCTCGTAACAAATAGTGGACTGTGTCAACATTTTAATGATACTTTGTTGAACAACATTTTCATTATTAAATCTTAGTTCATGAAATTCAATATTCACAATGGTGGAACAATATATGCCGACGATCGGTGTTCCTTGTATTATTAAAGTTGTCGTGCGATAAATAAAACAATGTTTCAGCGAAAGTAACCCCTCACTCACTCACTTGTATGTAATATGCACCATCATCCTTGTGTTTTTTTATTCCACAGGAAACGGCGTATCAGCTTCAGCCAATCCCGTCAATATACAGACTGCCACAGTCGGTTTGTACCTTTTTATGATTTTTAACATCTAGTGCCACCTTAATTATTTACTAGGGTAATTACGGTATCGCTGAGTGTATGGGGTTTAGTGCAACCTGATCTATTTAAACTCATTATCTTATCTTGCCATACACATAAATGTCATTTTCTGCTTGGCTGAGCGCATTTCTATTATTTCCAATGTACCCCGCTTACAAGCGAGTAACATTTTCTATGTACTACAATGCTGGGGATGCCGAACTCATTTGGTACTTCGTTGTAGTAATTCTTTATCTCGAATAGCATTGAATCACGTTCCATGTACGGAAATTACCGATGTTTTGCGAATGCAAATTGATGGAAGGGAGATAACTCTAAATTTGTTTTTCTTGTCTTGTCGTCTGGTTCTCAATACTATTATCCGATACCCGTGCTTCAAACAGTTCAAAATTACCATTGAGGTGTTCGGCAAGATAAATACGTTGTTCACTGTTCCCTCGGGGCCTATGGGTTGATGTACCCTCGATGGTTCTTTATGTTCGGGCTCAGGGAACATAAACAAACATCGAGGGTACATCAGCCCATGTCCCCTCGAGACCAGTGAACAACTTATAATGTACATGTTCTGATGTATAGGCACGAATAGTTATATTATATTATATTATATATATATTATATTATATTATATTATATTATATTATATTATATTATATTATATTATATTATATTATATTATATTATATTATATTATATTATATTATATAAATATTATATTTTTATAATACTTTGAAATACTTGTGTTGTGACAAGTTAAAATCCTGGGTAAGTCTCTATTTTTTTCTGATCTTGTTTTATGTTTGTTTGTTTTGTTTGTTATTTTACGCCGCACTGGGCAATATTCCCGCTACGAGACAGCTCTTGTTGTACAGTAGCGTTAGTGTTGGGCTTTTCCGTAAATTCAATAGAGGAAAGATTTTCGGACATTTGGTCCTGTGCTTCTAATTTTTTAAAAGTACCTAGTTGAAGTTGAACGTCAAAATAAAGTTCAAGAATTTCCTTTGCAGTTGTTTCTGGATGAGGCGACGTACATCACACACTGTGTCACAAGTACCATCGTGGAGAAAGAAAATAAACGTTTACTTGGATTCAGACTATTTGAAATACTGTTATATATAGTCATTGCCATAGCTACATATGGGTGTTGTACATGTTATATGTCAAAGTCATTAACTCGGTCGTATGAGTTCCGGGAAAAGTTTGAGTCAGCTTTTAATAATATTTGGGTAATATCGGGAAATTACCCGTGAAGATCCGGGTTAGAATTGATCTTCAGCAACCCATGCTTGTCGTAAAAGGCGACTAACGGGATTGGCTTGTCAGGCTCGCTGACTTGGTTGACACATGTCATCGTATCCCAATTGCGTAGATCGATCCACATGCTGTTGATTACTGGATTGTCTGACCGCCTCTGTGGTGTAGTGGTTAGAGTGTCCACCCGGAGAGCGGAAGGTCGCGGGTTCGATCCCCGGTCGCGTCATACCAAAAGACGTTAAAATATGGTACTTGTTTGTCCCTGCCTGGCGCTCGGCATTAATGGGTACAACAAGGACTGGTCGGCTCGGTGTCAGTATAATGTGTCTGAGTGGGGTATTCATGCTTAACTGCGGCATGGTATCTCAGTGGGCTAGCACTATAAAACCAGCTTCAGTCTGGGCTAGTACAAGCAGCTGTCGCACATACACATACACACGCTATCTACGAAGTATCACATACTTCCATATTATTTTGATGGAACAGAGACTTATAAATCTGATATTTTAGTTTATGGAGGTACTAAAAAACGATGTGAACACTCTGCGTGAATTCTCTAAAATATTTCAACAAAGATATCTTCACATAACAGTTTTTTAATCAAGCGAAATGGCCAAATCGATTTGGAATTATGAACATACGAACTCTACAACAACATATACATGCTGTGCTCTTTCGACCAGGCGCGTTCCGTTGTGCCAATATCTGGTTTCAATCCCGGAATTTTCTGAGCTGTTAATGTATGATTCAGTTGATGCACCAACCGCATATGGTTGTCTTGTTGTTATGGTTGCCTCGTCTCACAGGTGGACAACCGGCTTGTGGCAAGTGATTAGTGTCTTCTTATGTAAATAACTTCTCCATCGTTATAATATTGTGTTTCGATGAACATAAAAATGTCTGCCAGCATCGTTTGACACCATTCTTGTTTGCTGCATGCCAATGCTACGTAGAAACTGTGTTGAAACTTTTAAACGGCCAATCAAGGATTACCTTACATGGAATATGACATGTAAGTCAAGATTACTTTTAAACGGCCAATCAAGGATTACCTTACATGGAATATGACATGTAAGACAAGATTACTTTTAAACGGCCAATCAAGGATTACCTTACATGGAATATGACATGTAAGTCAAGATTACTTTTAAACGGCCAATCAAGGATTACCTTACATGGAATATGACATGTAAGTCATGATTACTTTTAAACGGCCAATCAAGGATTACCTTACATGGAATATGACATGTAAGACAAGATTACTTTTAAACGGCCAATCAAGGATTACCTTACATGGAATATGACATGTAAGTCAAGATTACTTTTAAACGGCCAATCAAGGATTACCTTACATGGAATATGACATGTAAGTCAAGATTACTTTTAAACGGCCAATCAAGGATTACCTTACATGGAATATGACATGTAAGACAAGATTACTTTTAAACGGCCAATCATGATTACCTTACATGGAATATGACATGTAAGACAAGATTACTTTAAACGGCCAATCAGGATTACCTTACATGGAATATGACATGTAAGACAAGATTACTTTAAACGGCCAATCAAGGATTACCTTACATGGAATATGACATGTAAGACAAGATTACTTTTAAACGGCCAATCAAGGATTACCTTACATGGAATATGACATGTAAGTCAAGATTACTTTTAAACGGCCAATCAAGGATTACCTTACATGGAATATGACATGTAAGACAAGATTACTTTTAAACGGCCAATCAAGGATTACCTTACATGGAATATGACATGTAAGACAAGATTACTTTTAAACGGCCAATCAAGGATTACCTTACATGGAATATGACATGTAAGACAAGATTACACCCAAACGGCTAATCAAGGATTACCTTACATGGAATATGACATGTAAGACAAGATTACTTTTAAACGGCCAATCAAGGATTACCTTACATGGAATATGACATGTAAGACAAGATTACTTTTAAACGGCCAATCAAGGATTACCTTACATGGAATATGACATGTAAGACAAGATTACTTTTAAACGGCCAATCAAAGATTACCTTACATGGAATATGACATGTAAGACAAGATTACTTTTAAACGGCCAATCAAGGATTACCTTACATGGAATATGACATGTAAGACAAGATTACTTTCATGTCTCCCATAGTCTATGACGCAAGAGATGCTGCTGATGATTACCATAACTGAGATGGTGACGTCACCAAACGACTATTTCCCGAATATCTCATGCCATCTGTGAAATACCCAGTCATTTTCTACTACGTACGGTGGACCAATGTAAAGCATGTAACGATCGTGAGTCGTTTTAGTGCATTGAACAGAAACAAAATTTGACAAGAAAATAATTCCATCCAAACTTCACTTTATTTGATTCTCTTCATTACTAATGAGAAAACCTAATAGAAAAAGATGAAATCGGGAACTGAAACGGGTGTTACATATCCAGTCATTGGGTCCTTAGAGAAAGTTCTTAAACTGAGATTTTTAATATTGCATATTTGTCTTTGGGCCCGTGATGATCGTAAAATGCGACTAACGGGATTAGGTGGTCAGGCTCGCTGACTTGGTTAACACACATGTCATCGTATCCGAACTGCGTAAATCCATGCTCATGCTGTCGATCACTGGATTGTCTGGTCCAGACTCGATTATTTACAGACCGCCGCCTTATAGCTGGAATATTGCTGAGTGTGGCGTTAAACAACAACCAAACAAACAAACCACTTGCCCGCTCAATTGGACTTGCCCCTCCATTTGCCCTTGCCATCTTTCCCTTACTATACATGAATAAAAACTGCCACTAATACATCTATAGGTACACTATATACTCCCCATCAAAAGTTTAGACTCACTTGTGTAAATGTTGCCACTTACTTAAGTCAACTTTTCTAAACTAGATTTTGCAAAAATTTTCATACTATTTAAAGGTACTGTTTACACATGAACTGATGTATTGTAAAACAAATTGGTAACGTTGAAAAGATTATTGTCATGAGTTAAATGATGAAACTGAGTGAAAATTGACGAATTTTTAACAAGATTGTACACTACTACACAGCTGTTCACATGCACGATATTTGCACATGCTTTTTAGCAATTTAATGCATGATCCTCGTGCAATTCATCTGCATAAAGTTTGCAGTTGGTTCCCCCAAGTTAGTGGAGAAATTCATCTTCGATGTAACCACACATAGATGCATAACATATAGTGAGTGCTTTAAGTGAGTCTAAACTTTTGATGGGTAGTATATTACATCGTCATTCGCGCTTGCGATGTTCGCTGATTTAATCCCCTGAATCTTTCACATGGAAACTTCTCATCCGCTTTGAATTGACCTTTGCCCTTGCAATAGTTGCTTCGGAGAACCCATGAAAAGTATTGGACCTTTGAATGGGAAACTTTCCCCGACTCGGAATCTTCCTCTCGCTAGAGAAGCAATTAAAGCGAGGTCTTGGAACTGTATCCTCATTGCTTGGCTGAACTGTGGTTTCCTTTTTCATTGCACACTTCAAGGTCAGGATCATATCAAACATGCTGGTGACATTCAGGTTCCATCTGGCGCTTACCTCGATATGGGGGCAGTTCAATTTTCTAGCCATGCCGAGTGCCATGTCCGAAGTGATGATTCTTTTTTCGGCATTATCCAGTTTATTGGCAGCGATCAGAATGGGAAGGCTGACTTTTTCTGCAACAAATGAAGGATACATTGAAATTGTCGTTTCAAGCAAACCCTCGAGGGATGCGCAAATTCGCCAGGCTAGTGATCCAGCTAGGAGATGTCGGGATCGAGACCACCTGTTACCGGGTGTGCCTGTACACTTAAAAGAACCCACGAATCCGTTGGTACATGACCAGATGGTGGCTACATGAATACGTGCAAACACCTAGTTGCGGGTACAGCAACGTGCAGTGAACTTGGACAAAGTACTGTGACTATGTCCCAGTCCACCCAGCTGTGAATGGGTACCTCGTAAGGATGGGAAACAGATCTAGATTAACTTGGTGCGTCCAGTGGCTGCACGAGTCCTAAGCTCCTCAGGGAATTGAGAATGAAAATACGATGAGCCGTTGAGATTGACATCCAATGAGGGAAAAATCAAAGTGCTTTGAGCATGCATATATCCAAGGGATGGACTATAGCGCTATATAAATACACATGCTAATTATTACTTCACATGTGACCGGGGCGGTGGGGTAGCCTAATGGTTAAAGCGTTGGCTCGTCACGCCGAAGACCCGGGTTCGAATCCCCACATGGGTACAATGTGTGAAGCCCATTTCTGGTGTCCCCCGCCGTGATGTTGCTGGAATATTGCTAAAAGCGGCGTAAAACCAAACTCAGTCAGTCAGTCAGTCACATGTGACCGAAATACGTCCATGTGGATTTACCTACCTGCACACAATACAAGTGGTTCAAGCACCAATTATAAATTATGTGTGAAAAAAGCCTTGGTAGCAATAGAATAAAAGCATTTATTAATTTGTAGTTACAAGCAGTTTTTGGATTCGTTTCTAGGGGACTACATATAACACAGTTATTGGAATCAGTTGGAGTGAGTGAGTGTATTGGGTTTTACGCCGTTTTTAGCAATATTCCAGCAATATCACAGCGGGGGACACCAAAAATTGGCTTCACACATTGTACCCATGTGGGGATTCGAACCCGGGTCTTCTTCGTGACGAGTGAACGCTTTAACCACAAGGCTACCCCACCGCCCCCGGAATCAGTTGGAGAAAAGGCTAAGATGCATCTGAATCGTCCACTGAAAGACCAGCCTTTATACAAGCTTCAGAAGGTAATGCCATTGCACCGCGAGGCCCTACCGTAACATCAATCATTTTGCAAAAATGGTTATTTCACTTAATTTTGTCTTTCCTTAGCATTGATCTGTTAATAACACCCAATAACCCGTCTTGTGCTATAAAACCATGTTTAAGAGGTAAAAGTTTCTTTGATTGACACTTCATGGTCACACTCCTTTTTCCAAAAGATTTCATGTCTTGAAACATTTCTCGAAACCCCTAAGTTTCGGTAGTGCATGCAGTCTGCATGTGGTGACTTACTTCTGCATGTTTTGATCATGTTACAGTAGTTGAAGGCCATGTGGAAGGAGTGTATGTCGTCAAGGGCGTAGACTACGATGAACATAGTGCCCTGAGTTATTCGTAGAGATCGCATTGCCGGAAAGTCGTCTCCGCCGGACGTGTCGATGATCTCGACCGCCTGAAATAGGCCATCTGGAAAACAATTCGTTCAACATTTACCGTGTACTCGGATTTATAAGCAATCTATCGCAATTTATGATAACACACGCGCATGCACATGCATTTCTCCCTTTCCGTTTATATTTATAGCCTATGTTTTATGAAGTTCAGCAGTTAACAGTGGTACATATATAAAGAAATCGGTGTCCGTGAAAATCGTGTTGTGTCATTATTTTGTGGATTTCTTAACATGTAATATACATCTCTTTCCGTTTATACACACCTTTATAAACTCTTCAAAAAGAGAAACGCACAGGCGTTTTCAGCAGTTGATTTCGATATATTTTGACAGCAATCGTCATTAAGACAAGTCCTATGTTTGAATCCCGTTAATCATCTCGTGGTTGTTGTGTGTTGCGCACAAACACATCCAAAACTGTGTTTGTTAACGTTTGGCATATAAAATGAAAACGATGCGTGAAAAGTGCATGCAGAAAAGGTTTTCCACGTAATGCACGTACAATGTGTCGGTAACAGGAGTAGAGACATCGACTATAAAAAAGCCAAACCAAATTCATCATTTCATAACAAAATTTATGACGTGAACGAACCTCAAATATGCCAAAGTTGAATGCTACTGACTGATATATCGCCATTGAACGTTTGGAAGCAGGGGAGTCCCAGTTTGCTGTTGCAAGACACGTCGCAGATCGTCCCAGAGGTGGAAGACCAACAATGACTGCTCCTGCTTAGGTCCGATACATCCGGGTGCTTCACCTACGTCACCGATTCGCTATTGAAACGGACACTGCAAGACAGTTGCCTGTCTTATATACACTTTTATACGTTTAACACATTTCATTATGTTTTGCCTGGCGTTTCCTATTTGAAGAGTTTATATAAAGTTAACACACTGTCATTTTGTATGCCCTTTTTCGATATGTCACTTATTTCAAGATTTTTCTTGGTCGTTTCGTACCGATTTAACACCTTGGCATTTTATGGGCCAGGAGGGTCATCAACACAAGGGTACATGATCCAGTTCCCATTTACAAACTCCACGTCTAAACGTAAACGTCGCATGGAATTTAAAGGGCAGTTACTGTAATTGTTTGAGCAATGAAAAGCTGGTGTTGTTCTCGGAGACTTTGCACCGTCAGCTAAGCATACATTAGCACGGCATTGTTTCACTGCGGTTTAACCGATTTGCCATTCCTGCGTAGATTTTCAAGGGACAATGGCTCTTTGCACACTCCAGAAGTGTTTTTTCCCCAGATGCTTTGACCAAGATATCCGTGGTCGGGCTCTGTGCCTTCCCCTAGGGCAAGTCCCATTTCAAGTATGGCTGGTGTCATTACCGGAGGACGGCTGCCTGCGCTGCAGATTTAAAATGTGTTTTTCTCCTTGTTGTTTTGTAAACAAGTGGGGAACCTGCATAGCTGACGTTCAGTTCAGGGACTATAAATATTCCCCCATCTAGGCACATTATTATCATTATAACGATAAAATTAACAGAGAGACTCTTGAAGATCCGGGGTTGAATAGGTCTTCAGCAACCCATTCTTGCCACAACAGACGACTATGCTTGTCGTAAGAGGCGACTAACGGGATCGGGCGGTCAGGCTCGCTGACTTGGTTGACACATGTCATCGGTTCCCAATTGCGCAGATCGATGCTCATGCTGTTGATCACTGGATTGTCTGGTCCAGACTCGATTATTTACAGACCGCCGCCATATAGCTGGAATAATGCTGAGTGCGGCGTAAAACTAAACTCACTCACTCACTAAATTAACAGAGAAAAGTCTGGATTTACGTTGTGCCCAAAATCGAAAGAGATCCGATTTAATCTAACCTGATAAGACTTTATGCTTTAAAATGACCACAACTCAGAATCTTACCTACCTGGGTACTTAACCACCTGTGTATAGAAGTCCTCAATGGTGGGGGAGTAGGTACGGCGGTATGTTCTCTCTGTGAACTGTTGGATCAGTGAGGTTTTCCCCGCCGTGGCGTGGCCGAGCAGAACGATCTTGTCCAGCATGGTGTGAAGGACGACACTTCACTGGCTGGTGAAGCTAAGCGAGATACCTAATATATCGTAGTAACGTCCCGGCAACGGACTTGGCTCTGTGAAAAACATTTACTCACGTGTTTCAAGTGTGAATAATATAAGTGTTTTTATATCATCGTAGGATTGGGATCTGGACGGTGCTAGAATAGTATAGTTAACTGGCGTTAACCATGATGTATATATACTACTGTAGCATAAGTTATTTTGGGATTACACTTTCTTAGTAAAATTCAGATTCTAGTACTTTTGGGTTGGGTCCCATCCGGGATTCGAACCCACACCCTCAGAGTTAGGCACCTAATCGCCAGCCTGAATCTGGATGGGACTCAACCCAAAAAGTACTAGAATCTGTACTTTATTAATAAAGTGTAATCCCAAATATAACATATGTTACATTTGACCACTTTCTAAATGGCATTGTGTATATATACTACTGGAATAAAGTATCACTGCATTATTGCATGTTATGCCATTTTTAAGGCTAAAAGATAATAGCATGATTTGTGGGGCTTTCTGTTTAACTGTTGACATGATAATATAGAAATCTCTAAGATTTAACCCAAGGCATCGTGACACGCCCTTGAAAAGATGAAGTTTCAGAATTTTAGTAGCGTACGGGTCCACCATTGGCGTTGATGCAGGCTTGACCACGACGACGCATAGACGACACTAAGCGATTGAAGAAAGCTTTGGGAATGTTGTTCCATGTCTGAACCAACGCTTGTCCCAAATCAGCTGACGTCAATGTCTCATACTTGACTGGGCGTAAACGTCGCTCCATTTCATCCCAGCTGATACGGTGGCATCCCTTTATGGCTGATACGGTGGCATCCCTTTATGGCTGATACGGTGGCATCCCTTTATGGCTGATACGGTGGCATCCCTTTATGGCTGATACGGTGGCATCCCTTTATGGCTACTACGGTGGCATCCCTTTATGGCTGATACGGTGGCATCCCTTTATGGCTGATACGGTGGCATCCCTTTATGGCTGATACGGTGGCATCCCTTTATGGCATGGTGAGCGGGCTGGCTAAGGCGCCGCGCTAGTAAGCGAAAGGTGCCTGGATCGGCCCCCACTTGTGACCCTCTTGCTTTACCTCTGCATTCCACTTCTAAATGCCCTTCAACGATATAAATGCCATTCAAAGATATATTGTCTCAAAAACAAATATAAATGTTATAAGTAAAATGTGATAAAATATTTTATGGCTCTTCAGTGATTTCTCCCTCATTTTAGCCCCCCTCCCCCTCCCCCCCTTTCAGCCTCTCTTTCGCGCTTAGTTCCCAGGCAACATGGTCTCAAATTCCCGCTGATTCTAATCCACAAATCCCCTTCACAGTTCTTCTCAAGTATCCTAGTATTATATATACATATATAGGTTATTTCAACCACATTGTAGCTTTATACTCATCCATGTTTTGCTGCAAATTACTGCTTCGTATCTTTTCTGTTTCAGGTCATGTTCACATTATGCTTAGATAAGCAGAGCAGGTGACCAGTCTTGGGTTTGTATCATCAGCTGCTGCTTATCCCCTCAGAGTGGATCTGGGGGAACCATGCTTGGTTACGTTGCATTATCCACGGTTTATCCTCGCTGCGAGTTATCCTCAGGGGCTGAACCCGGCTGGGTTACCTGGCATATACATTTGTATATCACGCTAACGGTATTTTGGGTGGGTTCTCGTTTTACTAATGACCCGCCGGAGGTATAATTACCTATTGCTAATACTGTTCAAATGCTTGCTCTCTCTTGGTTACCCATAGAGAGCTACCGGTCAAGAAGCCCTATGCATTCGGGCCTGCGCTTGGCATGCTTATATATTATATACCACCTATCATATATATAATCTTTTATTCCTCCATAGTGAAGAGTTCAGAAAGAGACAATATTTATGCACTTATTTCAGGATTTTCATGCATATTTGAGCCAATATCACGTTTTATTAATTATTCAAATGCAAGAGTCACAATGAGTCAGTGGAACACAGCTTTGTACATCATGGTGATGTATTTTATCATAGAGTGGAAAACTCAGTCAAGTCTTCTTTGATCAGAGGGAAGTCGGTTGTACACGACAACAAGCACTCTGTAAGTTCATTTGGGTTCATGTTGTGAAGTTTCACGCTGAATTCAATTGGCCAATTGATTGTTCAAGTTCTTGGAAAGTCTGAGATATGGTTATCACTTGCTTGCCTCATGTGCTTCCTGAAGTCAGATGTTGCTGCCTTGTATTCTCTGTAGGACGTGTGTGCAGACCCATGAGGTTTGCCATCAGCAAGCCAAACACGACGCTTAGCAGTCATGTGATTATGATAATCATTCACAACTTTGTTCCAGTATGGTTTCAGAAATAACCTGAATGATTTCATTGGTAGTGTGTCCCTGCTGGCATGCAAAATAGTACATGTTATTGCTGAATAACATTCATCAATATCAGTCAATTCAAAATCCTCCGTGGGAGGTTTAATACTCCACAGCAGATGGGAAACAGCAAAGGTATAATCCTTCAACCTGACCTGACTTCTAGCTTTTTCCCAGGAGACAACCCTTCGTCCCTCTCGCGTGAGTGTTGGTAGACTGACTGACTGAGTTTGGTTTTACGCCGCTTTTAGCAATATTCCAGCAACATCACGGCGGGGGACACCAGAAAATGGGCTTTACACATTGTACCCATGTGGGGATTCGAACCCGGGTCTTCGGCGTGACGAGCCAACGCTCTAACCACTAGGCTACCCCAACGCCCGAGTGTTGGTAGAGGTGATGGCAGAGACAAGGTGCAGATGACCGGGTTGTGGTCAGACACATTGAAGGGGGCATCGTCTAAGATACGGGCACATAAAACATCACTCAGGGTCGTCTCAGCTTCTACGTTGTCACGTACTACACGGTTACCGTTAGCCCTGCCCGTATGCCTATTTTTACAATGTTACAATAACAAATTCTGATGTTAGTTTGTAAAACTCAAGCAAAATAAATACATGTATTTATGAATGTATTTTGGGTGACCTTTTACTGAATAACATGTCTGTCTGTCTGTCTGTCTATACAATGTATGATTCACTTAGTCGACCTATCCTCTGGCGTAGGTTGATTGACCATGCAGTAAAAGGCAACATGTTTCAAGTTTTATATGCTATTTACAAGAACGTCGCCAGCTGCGAGGAGTTTCGCAGGACGAATATATTTACAAACAACACCGTGCAGCTGTAATACTTCTCAAAGAAAAACAAACTCATGATAGTACAGTCGACTCTGCTTTTAGGAGAGATTTCTTATGGATGTGGAAAGGGTTTTGTCGCTTTTGTTTGCAATTAACACTTCAGAAGTCTTGTTTGTCAAAACAATGTAAAAACATGAATTAGGAGGTATGGCAGTTCCTAACCGAGATTGATAGGAGAGAATCTTGTAATTTATCTATTGCATCCTTTAGTTGCCAATGCGCCCTTGTAACAAACTTGGAAAACGCACAAATAAATGATTACAGTTTCTTCAACAACTTTTCTATCTTTCTGACAAAAATTATGCACTTTTTTCTAGAGTTTGTCTGTTGTTTTTATTGCAGTCCGCGTTAGTTTGATTCTTTTATGTCTATTTGTTTTTGTGTTAGATTCCATTCACCGGTGTCATTTTGTCTCAAACGGACTGTATATTCGAAATGATTCAGGGACTGGAAATTACATTAGTCCTTCCAATTGAGGGATGTCACGAACATGACACTAATCAATGCAATCTGTTTCAATAATCCATTGAAAAGCTATTTGATGCATGTCTTAAGGTTGTATTACCGAACACAATACATCGTAGCGCTGGTGATATGAGCCTAAGCTGCTCCTGGTCTAACAGGACAATGAATTGCTTTGCGTTGGTGTCTAAATGGATTAAATCCACGACTTGCTAAATACGTTCGTGCATTAACATGATTAATTTCACACAGAAAATCATTTTTTGAACTATCAAATTTCTATAGTCGCAATGTACTTGTATGACTTCGAACTATCTATGGGACGTATGGTTGATTCTGTGTGGGTGAGATGTAACGACAGAAGGGCGTCAGCGTACAGTAGCTGCAGATGTATGCATCATTCTTTGTCGGACGGTGGGTCGGACGATGTATCACCTCTGTCTGTGTCTTTCTGTGTACGTGTGTCTGTCTTTCTGTCGCTTCTGTCTGTGTCTTTCTGTGTACGTGTGTCTGTCTTTCTGTCGCTTCTGTTTGTGTCTTTCTGTGTACGTGAGTCTGTCTTTCTGTCGCTTCTGTCTGTGTCTTTCTGTGTACGTGTGTCTGTCTTTCTGTCGCTTCTGTCTGTGTCTTTCTGTGTACGTGTGTCTGTCTTTCTGTCGCTTCTGTCTGTGTCTTTCTGTGTACGTGTGTCTATCTTTCTGTCGCTTCTGTCTGTGTCTTTCTGAGTACGTGTGTCTATCTTTCTGTCGCTTCTGTCTGTGTCTTTCTGAGTACGTGTGTCTATCTTTCTGTCGCTTCTGTCTGTGTCTTTCTGTGAACGTGTGTCTATCTTTCTGTCGCTTCTGTGTGTCTACGTGTGTCTATTTCTGTCGCTTCTGTCTGTGTCTTTCTGTGTACGTGTGTCTGTCTTTCTGTCGCTTCTGTCTGTGTCTATCTTTCTGTAGTACGTGTGTCTATCTTTCTGTCGCTTCTGTCTGTGTCTTTCTGTGTACGTGTGTCTATCTTTCTGTCGCTTCTGTCTGTGTCTTTCTGTGTACGTGTGTCTGTCTTTCTGTCGCTTCTGTCTGTGTCTTTCTGAGTACGTGTGTCTGTCTTTCTGTCGCTTCTGTCTGTGTCTTTCTGAGTACGTGTGTCTATCTTTCTGTCGCTTCTGTCTGTGTCTTTCTGAGTACGTGTGTCTGTCTTTCTGTCGCTTCTGTCTGTGTCTTTCTGAGTACGTGTGTCTATCTTTCTGTCGCTTCTGTCTGTGTCTTTCTGAGTACGATGTGTGTCTTTCTTTCTGTC